ACATAAGTACTTTTGGGGGACGGAGCAATGGTGGACCCCGCGGAAAAAAATAAAGGCACACCGAAAATTAAAAGAAAAATTTTTTTTTTTTACCCCACCCCCCCCCCCTTGGACAGGGCCCCTTCCAACAATTCCCCCCCCCCGGGGCCGGAAGGGGGGGCTTTTCCCGGGGGTTGCCCGGGGGGGGGGGGGGCTGGTAACGGGTCAAATTGAACCATGCATAACGAACCGAGTGAAAGCAAAGAAATGGTGGTTAACGAGAGGTGGTCCTAAACATCGTAGGTTCAACTTTAGGCCATGCAGTATTGTATTCGGTATTATCTTCTCATAGAGAAAAACTTGCGTATATTTGTCCTCAGAGTGCTTCTCAGCAGCCGTCCAAAGAGGAGAAAGAGCAGCCTACTCTTCACGGAAATGTTTCTGAAATCTTTTGCAGGTAAGGCAACCCTTTTTTTGTACTGAAATAACATAGACATTTGCATTTGTAGCGAGAAAAAGGGGAACAAAAGGTTACCGTGCGCGACTGTCGTGATCAACGATTCTTTTTTTTTCGAATTGTGTATGTTATATGTAATTTAATTATTTTCCCCTCATTTATATGTAAAAAAAGGCAAAAAAAAGAATCAATAAATAATAAACGATAACTGATGTTGACTTTATAACGGCAAAAAAAGGGAAAAAATGAATTGGTTTAGTGTGTCAGTCTTCAGTCTAATCTGAGGCTAAGTTCACACCATACAGGTTAGCTTTTGCGCAGTCGCCAAATTCATATCGTATAGCTAGGGCTTCTGTTCACACACAACACTGGGTTATCGCGGCGCGATTTCTGTAATGGAGCGAAGCTGGGACGGGCCGATCTCAAAAGTCAGGAGCACCCAACGAGAGTATAGTTCAAAACCACATAAACATAGCATTGTTGAACGTACTTTAGTATTTACACGGTAGATAAAGGCTTATTTTTATCCCCTGAAAATTTTTCATCTGTTCGGATTTCCTAGCTGAAAGTATAGTGATCCGAAAATTATAGGGATCAAAATTTACCTTTTCGAAAATTTCAGCCAGAAAAAAGGCTCCCGAAAATTCTAGGTGACCTTTTTAGGGTAAAAATCCGTTTAAAATGGGCAATTATACGTAAGTTCGAAAATCCTAGGAGAGGCAGGCAAGCAAGAAATTTGTCAGAAAATGATCCGAAAATTCTAGACCTCAAATCGTCTTCCGAACAGATAATTTTCCGAAAATTGTCGTTGGGTGCCCCTGAAAAGTGGGGAGTCATATATCGAATATAGTGTGAACGTAACCTTAGTTACAAAACAAAAGAAAGTTTACCCTATAAGCTTCAGGTAGAACCTCATTCCCAAGCCTTTTTATATGCAAGTGGGAGTTACAGTCGAAGTGAGAACACCTTACGGCTCTCAGCTGGAAAAGAGGCTGCACAAATTTTGTATATGTTAGACTGTTTATACCCTATTTGATCTCAACAACTGAAAAAAGGAGCAGGACAAATGGCGCGCCCTATCGCCAAGCGCAAGGAGTATTTCAGTTTGCGCCTTTAATCTAGCAACGAGAGAATAATAATNAAAGTATAGTGATCCGAAAATTATAGGGATCAAAATTTACCTTTTCGAAAATTTCAGCCAGAAAAAAGGCTCCCGAAAATTCTAGGTGACCTTTTTAGGGTAAAAATCCGTTTAAAATGGGCAATTATACGTAAGTTCGAAAATCCTAGGAGAGGCAGGCAAGCAAGAAATTTGTCAGAAAATGATCCGAAAATTCTAGACCTCAAATCGTCTTCCGAACAGATAATTTTCCGAAAATTGTCGTTGGGTGCCCCTGAAAAGTGGGGAGTCATATATCGAATATAGTGTGAACGTAACCTTAGTTACAAAACAAAAGAAAGTTTACCCTATAAGCTTCAGGTAGAACCTCATTCCCAAGCCTTTTTATATGCAAGTGGGAGTTACAGTCGAAGTGAGAACACCTTACGGCTCTCAGCTGGAAAAGAGGCTGCACAAATTTTGTATATGTTAGACTGTTTATACCCTATTTGATCTCAACAACTGAAAAAAGGAGCAGGACAAATGGCGCGCCCTATCGCCAAGCGCAAGGAGTATTTCAGTTTGCGCCTTTAATCTAGCAACGAGAGAATAATAATCCTTACTTTGAGAAATGAGTCATACAGTATTTCACACGTGGGCTTCAGAAATACGATCATGCTCACTAACTAACTAACTTACTTACTTTTAAGTTAAAACTACTTTCCTTCTTGATTACGTACTTGTATACTTCACTTGCTTACTGTCTTACTAAGTACTTACTTTCTTACTTACTTACAATTCAATAGCATAGTGATTAGTTTCTACACAATAAAATAGAAGAATTTGAACAGTCTAGTTTGTTTTATATTTGCTCTTCGGGCTTTGTTACCAACAGAAAAGACGGTTCCTCGAAGATATCAGATGGTTCTCGCGTGAAACCTAAAAGAGTACAAGTACTTCCAGTGGCAAGTGAAACACCAGCTTATAATCATTATGAAAAGGGATGGCTTGCTCAGATCAAGAGCAAATTCTTACCTGTTAGTGAGAAACGGAAAGCGAAACCGCTGAGCCGTGCCCAAAAGATCGATATGGCCTCCCGAGTATTGTTTCCCTTTTTGTACGTTGTGTATAACACTGTATACTGGTATATTTACTTGAACGGCGTTGAAATTCTGGCGTAAGACGTTTGTATATATATCATTCTTGTCATTATTTACATAAATATGTATAACAGCTACATCAGAAATTACCAGAAGCAGCACTGGGCAAACAAAGCTAATACGGAGCAAGGAATTGTCTACGAGGTCCGGGTTGAGACCCTTGTTTTACTCTTTCATATCATACTTATGACCAAAAGGGGTTAATTTCAAGTCTCAACTTTCATTTTTACCTTTCATTCAATGCCCTCGTTTGGACATAGTGCATTCAACACTTATAAAAGGGATAATGCCTTTCGTTTTCTTTGACTGAGAAGATGGTACCCCTTTTCTAAAACTACAGAAAGATTTTACTAAATGGATCAGCAGTCATTAAGGGTACGGTCAGGATACTTGTTTTACAACATTGCTACAAAACGAGTTGAAAAGCGATATTGCGCATTTTCCCGCTCATTAATCAAACCTGTCTTGCAACAAATCAGATTGTTGCAGGTAGTTCTACAAATTGGAACAAAACTTTTGTTGCGCGTTTTACCGGCCCAAGACAAACTCGTTTTGCAGCAATTGACGTAATTCCATGTAGGGAGTAACTCCCGCGAAATTTTGTCCAATCAGAAGCCAGTATTGATTTGTTGCACGACAGGTTTGATTCGTGGATGGTAAAGCGCACGACATAGCTATTCAACTCGTTTTGCAGCAATGTGGCAAAAAAACGTTGCGCGTTTCCGTTGTCCGTTTAACTGCAGTTTAAATGCGTCTCTTCGTGACACTTCGAAAGACTCTTTTAAGTACCAAATGTTAGTTTCTTCCTACATTCTCAGCTTGTAAAATTCCCATCTCCGCTCTGCTTACACGAGTTGTTGGCTTTTGAACTAAACGTAAATGTAGTTTTGCAGTATATGCAGGCGTATCCTCTATTACCCATTTTATGGTATAAAGGTGTAATCAATCAATCAGGAGGATTAAAGCGAACTTAAATTTAAGGGCAGTTATGTACGTTGTTCAATTCCCCTGGGAACAAACTTGGCAACGGCAAATACGAGTACACACACATTTACATAAACATTTTATACTTATTTTAAAAATTTGGGAAAAAGGCTGTCCAGGCTAATGTATTAACGTTCTCTCCAAATTAAATTATAAAAGTGACAATCATAAACTCACAACAATATTTGGATATTGAAATTACAAAATACTTCCAAATTTAAATCTAGATGAAAATATACAAATTCATTCATTATTATATATTTTTCTTTAAGTTACGCAAGTGACTTTTAGAGCACTTGTCTTCTTTAGCTCTCCACACTTCTTTTAGGAGGGTTTTAAATGACTAACATTTTTTAGTAATCTGGTCTTTCTGTTCAGTTTGTTCCAAACACGGATTGTTTGCCAAACTCATTCGTTTAAATTATACAATACTGCCCTTCTTTTTTGATTCAGCAGGCTTAAAGCAAGCCATAACCAGAAAAACAATCATTTTACATGTCTGCAGCGTCTCTACACTAAGGGTTTGTGCCCTCGACTTTTCGCTGCGACTCGTCGTTTAGTGCGCGACAAGCTTTAGGTAAAAGGCATTTTGCACGGCTGAATTGACGTTTCGCTAAAACGTCCGTGTAAAACATCTATCAGATTGGAGCTAGCCCACAAAGCTACTGGTACAGCGTTCACAATCGCCACTAGAATGTGTCTTCTCCATCTTCTGCACCAAACAGCCATGACGGGCATGTTTTGATAACGAGTCTCAATTGCCAGGGATAAGCTGGTGAACACCCATTCAATCGCAAGGGAAACTGTGGTATGTATTGCAAATGACTGGAATAAAGTTTTGAAGGGCTCTTCACTTGCGTAGACAAATTGATACAAGTATAGGCACCCATTCACCGACACTATAGCAGTCGATTCGTATACCATACCCATAATAGCGATATCAGCCGTTAGTCTCTCACGACGAGGAGTACGAAAACTTTTCCATGGAACTACTGCTCTTTTACACAGCACGTAACAAATATGATCAAGGAGAACCATCGTGCTTCGTTCAATGACTTCTGCAGCGCCGTGAATTATTCCCAGAATGGCGATGGAGCGTAAACTATCAAGTTCCGCTTGCAAGACTCGAAAAACGATAGCTGAGCCACAGTACAGCGGCGACAATAAGACATAAGAATACCCCGGATGAGTGATATTATACAACTTCTGTACACACAAACGCGACGCTACTTTGAGAAAAACTCCAATGAGGGGGGCGAAGACCGCAATTAACAATTTTTTCTCCGCAGTTTCTCTGTTGTATATGGGATATACCACGGACGTGACAAGAACGAATACCAGAAAAATAAGACAGCTTGGTACAACTATTTTAAAGAACAAAGCTAATTTCTTTTGAGCACTTGTGCAGAAGGTATTCGTTAATACACAGACTTGAAAGCTTTGGTTGAGAAGAAACAAAGCATTAAGTGGAATTTTCAAGGGAGAAGAAATGCGAGAGTGCGATAACCCACTAGCCTGGAGGGCAACACGATAACTTGTGTCCAAAGAATAAGTCAGAAGGCAAATCAACAGCAACTTTCCTCTTACTCCGGTTAATTGAAATGGACGAAATAGAAACTGCACAAGTGCAAAGAACCAAATGTATAAAAAACCGCAAGACACTACATCAGAGATTGATCTTATCCATTGTATTTGTATTGAAGTTGAGTTCATGGGCTGGAACTCACAATTCTGCACAGTTTTAAATGAGAGATAAGTAACCATGATGTATATTGTTCCTATGAAGATAGCCGTTACAACTGAAATCAAGGCTCCCGTGTACATTGATTTACAAACTGTTCGAAGAGCAGATGGTCTCAAACGTTTCCAGGCCATGGTGCGATTTTCGTCATATTTCTCCTCCTGATCGTTTTCTTCTAATGAACATGCATTGATGACTCTTACGCTCAGTCGCCCTCTCGTCAGATAGTTTAAGCTTGCAGGTTCTCCATCGCTGTATTCTTGGTAAATAAATTCGTCTACAGGATGACAGTACCATTCCCGTCCGGTGCTTTCCAAAGGAGTGTAGCCAAATGATTCTGCTGTAAACTCAGGTTCGTCTGGATTAAAATGGTCGGCAACTCCACGGGTGAAACTAAACAGGATGTGACCAAACACCTCTAACAGTGCACTGCTGCTCATCTCCGGGGGTACTCTCCTACATTTACTGTAATGGGGATATCACATGGTCAGATAGTTCAGACTTTGGACCTGTTCTAGAAAAAAAAGAGAGATGAATTTACGACTCTGCTCCGGACAATGTTCATAAAAAGAGGCCTAGGAATCCTCATCCTGTGACCGGCTCAGTGATATACGACGAGGGGAGCATTGTTTCTCACCTAAGCTTGATAAAAAATATAGTTAGAGATTATCGGGGAAAAATCAACCCTGTTCCAGAGTAAATATGAAGTAAAATATACCCCAGTTCTTCAAGGTTTTAGGGAAAAGTTATATATCTCGGAAAAATTGTGCAAATCTCGTTCCTGAATGAACCGTTTTGGACTTAAATACGGTCTTCACTTATAGGCCCTTTGCAGCCTTGTTAGCCAATTAGGGTGATACTTCGTACTTGGATTTGTGAAAAGGTGGCTCTTTCGCCCTTTTGTACCTCAACAGGAACTTAAAGCAACGACTACGGAAGCGTCTAGTTCGGTGACCGGGAAGAAATTTTTCCCCCACGCGTCAATGCTTCACGATAGCAAACTTCGCTTTTTATCGCCGTCGTGGTACTTTTAACTCCCTACTTGAGGCATACAGGAAAAAATTACCCTACTAAACGTTTCTATAGTCATTGCTTGAACTCCCTAATGACTCAAATTAGCCATAATGTAAAATAAGAGTGGCGCCCTAATGGTTTGTCTCTTATCTCCTAGCTATCTCCTTAATTTTCCCTTTCTTTTCCTTCTGCCACGGTCAGCTGTGTAGTGAGATCTTCGGGCTTACCAGATCTGCGTTTTCAATTGTCGTTATTTCAATCAAAGGGCTGCAATTTCGCTGGCTACGTTTTCTAAATCCAACTAGACCCTGAAGCCTTCAGTTAATACAACTTGTTTGCCACCTCTTACATCCTTATACACCCTAGTATTTTTCACATATATAAGACGTGATGATCCTGATCCAGTGTGGTCTAGTTTTCAGATTAATTATTTCATGCAGGGAATGTATAATCATTAAGTATTGTGAAATCAGATTTATCTCCTAGAATGGTAAGTGCACGTATACTACCAAGTGATGTAAGTCTCGATTTACGTCACAACAATGTTTCCTAGCTCTTAAACAATAACATATAAACTTCACACAATAGAACGACACAAGAGTGTATACATTAACTTAGTATATCGAGCATCAACCCCCCTAGTACTTACTCAATATTAAGTCCCATAAACACACTGACACGAAAAACAAGCAGTAAGAGAGAGAAATTCACGAAGAGTACTTCTAGCAACGTAAGCAGTTTAAGGATTCATATATCTACACTCAGGTTAAGGTGCAAATAAATCACTTTCCAACATCATAAAAGTGAACGTCTTCAGATTCACTGGGAATAATTTAATGCATCGGATGCAAGAAGGAAGTAGCTCAAGACTCATGAATTTTAACGAAAAGCCATAAAAATATCAACAACATTTCGTTTTCCGAAATTAAACATTTGTTGGTCTATATTTGAGCCGTAGTTGATGAACTGAGACGAACAGAGGCTTTTACTTTTGTTTAAAATTTGATGAATTGTTACTTTAAAAATAACACCATGATCTTCCTGTCAAGATCACGGAAAAGACTTCAACAGTTTTAAAACACAAATAGTACCAATGGTACCGGTACGGATTCCGGTACCAGTGGTGCCGGACTCACAACACAAGACACGGGATGTTCCAGTTTGTTATTTGCTCTTCTGCCCAGTCAAGAACTATTGTTTTTTCTTCACAAATGGTAAGCCCTCCGACTCATTTTTCTAGTAAAATGATCGCCCATCCTTAAAAAGACAGCGCATGCTTTAAGGACTCTGAGCTTAAGCAGCGACCCCTGTGACTGTAACTGAAAAGAGAAGACACGGAAGGTTTGAAAATCGCATTTTAATTACCAAAAATCCTGATAATTTAGCGAATTTCTTCAAGAATTATCGCGGATTTGAGAGGCTCAGTATCTCAGAGAAGAAAAGCAGCGTTCACCCTTTACATGTATCCTGATGCACGTGGCAGTCGGGCTTAATCAAAATTACTTGGCTGCTAGCCTGCAATGTAGGCATATTTTTAGGGTGGGCGGAAGTTGCCTCTCTGTGTACGTGTTGCCGCGGCCGCCATCTTTGATTTTACCACTGAGAAAGATTGGAGAGGGCCGAAATAGCAACCCTTGGGGCAACCTCGTCCCCAGGGTTTTTCCCCGCCTATCTGATTTTTTTTTTAGGGAAAGCCCTGGGGACGAGGTTGACCTTGGGTAAGGCTGGTTAGAGCAAAAGAAGGAGGAATGGTAATAGGGAGGAGCGAACAAGAAAATCTCTGGTTGTTTACCATTTACAGTGGTAAACCGGTCGGTTAAAGGGTTGGGTAAACGGTCAGAAAAATTCAGGACTGGTGAATTTCGTCCCGGAACCGCGTTTAGCATTTGCACACAAACGCGACGCTACTTTGAGAAAAACTCCAATGAGGGGGGCGAAGACCGCAATTAACAATTTTTTCTCCGCAGTTTCTCTGTTGTATATGGGATATACCACGGACGTGACAAGAACGAATACCAGAAAAATAAGACAGCTTGGTACAACTATTTTAAAGAACAAAGCTAATTTCTTTTGAGCACTTGTGCAGAAGGTATTCGTTAATACACAGACTTGAAAGCTTTGGTTGAGAAGAAACAAAGCATTAAGTGGAATTTTCAAGGGAGAAGAAATGCGAGAGTGCGATAACCCACTAGCCTGGAGGGCAACACGATAACTTGTGTCCAAAGAATAAGTCAGAAGGCAAATCAACAGCAACTTTCCTCTTACTCCGGTTAATTGAAATGGACGAAATAGAAACTGCACAAGTGCAAAGAACCAAATGTATAAAAAACCGCAAGACACTACATCAGAGATTGATCTTATCCATTGTATTTGTATTGAAGTTGAGTTCATGGGCTGGAACTCACAATTCTGCACAGTTTTAAATGAGAGATAAGTAACCATGATGTATATTGTTCCTATGAAGATAGCCGTTACAACTGAAATCAAGGCTCCCGTGTACATTGATTTACAAACTGTTCGAAGAGCAGATGGTCTCAAACGTTTCCAGGCCATGGTGCGATTTTCGTCATATTTCTCCTCCTGATCGTTTTCTTCTAATGAACATGCATTGATGACTCTTACGCTCAGTCGCCCTCTCGTCAGATAGTTTAAGCTTGCAGGTTCTCCATCGCTGTATTCTTGGTAAATAAATTCGTCTACAGGATGACAGTACCATTCCCGTCCGGTGCTTTCCAAAGGAGTGTAGCCAAATGATTCTGCTGTAAACTCAGGTTCGTCTGGATTAAAATGGTCGGCAACTCCACGGGTGAAACTAAACAGGATGTGACCAAACACCTCTAACAGTGCACTGCTGCTCATCTCCGGGGGTACTCTCCTACATTTACTGTAATGGGGATATCACATGGTCAGATAGTTCAGACTTTGGACCTGTTCTAGAAAAAAAAGAGAGATGAATTTACGACTCTGCTCCGGACAATGTTCATAAAAAGAGGCCTAGGAATCCTCATCCTGTGACCGGCTCAGTGATATACGACGAGGGGAGCATTGTTTCTCACCTAAGCTTGATAAAAAATATAGTTAGAGATTATCGGGGAAAAATCAACCCTGTTCCAGAGTAAATATGAAGTAAAATATACCCCAGTTCTTCAAGGTTTTAGGGAAAAGTTATATATCTCGGAAAAATTGTGCAAATCTCGTTCCTGAATGAACCGTTTTGGACTTAAATACGGTCTTCACTTATAGGCCCTTTGCAGCCTTGTTAGCCAATTAGGGTGATACTTCGTACTTGGATTTGTGAAAAGGTGGCTCTTTCGCCCTTTTGTACCTCAACAGGAACTTAAAGCAACGACTACGGAAGCGTCTAGTTCGGTGACCGGGAAGAAATTTTTCCCCCACGCGTCAATGCTTCACGATAGCAAACTTCGCTTTTTATCGCCGTCGTGGTACTTTTAACTCCCTACTTGAGGCATACAGGAAAAAATTACCCTACTAAACGTTTCTATAGTCATTGCTTGAACTCCCTAATGACTCAAATTAGCCATAATGTAAAATAAGAGTGGCGCCCTAATGGTTTGTCTCTTATCTCCTAGCTATCTCCTTAATTTTCCCTTTCTTTTCCTTCTGCCACGGTCAGCTGTGTAGTGAGATCTTCGGGCTTACCAGATCTGCGTTTTCAATTGTCGTTATTTCAATCAAAGGGCTGCAATTTCGCTGGCTACGTTTTCTAAATCCAACTAGACCCTGAAGCCTTCAGTTAATACAACTTGTTTGCCACCTCTTACATCCTTATACACCCTAGTATTTTTCACATATATAAGACGTGATGATCCTGATCCAGTGTGGTCTAGTTTTCAGATTAATTATTTCATGCAGGGAATGTATAATCATTAAGTATTGTGAAATCAGATTTATCTCCTAGAATGGTAAGTGCACGTATACTACCAAGTGATGTAAGTCTCGATTTACGTCACAACAATGTTTCCTAGCTCTTAAACAATAACATATAAACTTCACACAATAGAACGACACAAGAGTGTATACATTAACTTAGTATATCGAGCATCAACCCCCCTAGTACTTACTCAATATTAAGTCCCATAAACACACTGACACGAAAAACAAGCAGTAAGAGAGAGAAATTCACGAAGAGTACTTCTAGCAACGTAAGCAGTTTAAGGATTCATATATCTACACTCAGGTTAAGGTGCAAATAAATCACTTTCCAACATCATAAAAGTGAACGTCTTCAGATTCACTGGGAATAATTTAATGCATCGGATGCAAGAAGGAAGTAGCTCAAGACTCATGAATTTTAACGAAAAGCCATAAAAATATCAACAACATTTCGTTTTCCGAAATTAAACATTTGTTGGTCTATATTTGAGCCGTAGTTGATGAACTGAGACGAACAGAGGCTTTTACTTTTGTTTAAAATTTGATGAATTGTTACTTTAAAAATAACACCATGATCTTCCTGTCAAGATCACGGAAAAGACTTCAACAGTTTTAAAACACAAATAGTACCAATGGTACCGGTACGGATTCCGGTACCAGTGGTGCCGGACTCACAACACAAGACACGGGATGTTCCAGTTTGTTATTTGCTCTTCTGCCCAGTCAAGAACTATTGTTTTTTCTTCACAAATGGTAAGCCCTCCGACTCATTTTTCTAGTAAAATGATCGCCCATCCTTAAAAAGACAGCGCATGCTTTAAGGACTCTGAGCTTAAGCAGCGACCCCTGTGACTGTAACTGAAAAGAGAAGACACGGAAGGTTTGAAAATCGCATTTTAATTACCAAAAATCCTGATAATTTAGCGAATTTCTTCAAGAATTATCGCGGATTTGAGAGGCTCAGTATCTCAGAGAAGAAAAGCAGCGTTCACCCTTTACATGTATCCTGATGCACGTGGCAGTCGGGCTTAATCAAAATTACTTGGCTGCTAGCCTGCAATGTAGGCATATTTTTAGGGTGGGCGGAAGTTGCCTCTCTGTGTACGTGTTGCCGCGGCCGCCATCTTTGATTTTACCACTGAGAAAGATTGGAGAGGGCCGAAATAGCAACCCTTGGGTCAACCTCGTCCCCAGGGTTTTTCCCCGCCTATCTGATTTTTTTTTTAGGGAAAGCCCTGGGGACGAGGTTGACCTTGGGTAAGGCTGGTTAGAGCAAAAGAAGGAGGAATGGTAATAGGGAGGAGCGAACAAGAAAATCTCTGGTTGTTTACCATTTACAGTGGTAAACCGGTCGGTTAAAGGGTTGGGTAAACGGTCAGAAAAATTCAGGACTGGTGAATTTCGTCCCGGAACCGCGTTTAGCATTTGCACAAATCAATTCCATTTACCGAGAAACGGCCTCGAATGCCTGAAACTAGCTATAGTATCAAAGATGGCTTTGAAGAAATGAAACACAAATTTCCATTTGGAACCTTCACTGTGGAAATACAGGACTACCTCTTCAGACCGGCGTTAAAATTCTCCTGAAAATTTTCCACTGAACTGACCGAAAATTAAGTCGTGTTCCATTTTTTTTCCAACCGGATTTTTCGGAAACTTCTTATTAATGGTAAACAACCTCTCTCTCTTCTCTCTTCCGGTTTTACAGTGATATGGGCATCCCCACGTTTTGAACATCCCCATTTCCAAAATGATACGGGCATTCCCTGTAACCCTAACCCTAACCCTAACCCAAATCGCTAAGAAAATATGAAAAGCGGATGCCCATATCACTAGGGTTTTGAGAATTGGGATGCCCAAAAAGAGGGGATGCCCATGTTACTGTAAAACCGGCCCTTTCGATTCCTTTCCAGGCCCCTTTCACTAGCCCCAACTCCTCTACTTTCTTGGAATTCAACATGACGGTTACAGGGAGCAGAAATATACGCGCACCCGAAAAAACCGTCTGCTACTTGGCGGCCGCCCCCCTCCCCACTTTTTTTTCCAATCCACTTCTCGTTGTCTGGGATGGAACCGAAGCGAGCTTTGGTATACATATAGTCCTTACTTCGCAGCCAATTATTCAAGCCTGCAGGAAACTTTCTTACATTATAACTATTTAAGTTTCAGGAAATGAATAACTACGTACGGTCTTCGATCTGTTTAAATTCAAGGATATGAGGATATAACACTATCGAGTATTCCATTCAAGTAAAACTCTCACATTTCGCCTTGTTCTCCTTTTGGCTTTTAGGGGGAAGTTAATTCTAAACAAATGTGCAAAAACCTTAACCAGATAGCGTGTTGTCGGTTATTTTGTTTGAATGTGTGGCGCTCTCCCTGTTGTCCCCGTCTTTGGTCTATACCGCTCAGCCTGAGGAAGAAAATATGAATTATGAAATAATTCTAAGTGGACATGCGCGTTACGGGTTTCTGTCATGCTACACGCGTATTCGCTTCTGTCGATTCCCGGAAAGCCGCTGACTTTGGAAAGGAGGCTGTTTATATCGATTGCTCCTTTGTTGAGGTGGATTAAGATTACTGTTGATGGACCAGCTAAACGACCTTGGCTACTAAAGTCAAGAAGTTAATTAATTGAGAGTTACCTGAAAAGTCAGTTTTGCCAGTAAGTGTACATGTTAGTAACGCGCGAAGCAGTAGCTGTGTAGCCTCTCTTTTGTTCTTAATTAGTAAGGAAAAAAGAGTTCTGCGGGTGAGATTGAAGCTCATTAGTTTTGAATCCTATGCCAATCCCTCATGTAGAGTTTGCAGACAACCTGCTTGACTGGAAATCTGCAAGGATCTTTGCATTTAAGCATTACTGATTAATTGTGTAAAACAAAGTAACGTACAGCAGTTTCCCATTGCCTTTATTCAGAGGATTTTTCAAGTATGTAGGTCCTGAAGATAAATTTCCTCCTAAGTTCCTCAATCATGTACACTTTATTTTGGC